AACAAATACAACAAAAAACAAGTGCGGGGAGAACTGACTGCGGAGGGAAATGACTTAGCAAGAAAATGACACCCACAAAAGAATAGCCCGAGCTGGCATGTTTCAGAGGTGAAGAACTTAAAGTTAGGAATGTTCCCAAGACTGAAGTAAATAAGACTGGGCTGCTGCAGTATGTCATCAAATTATACTACCCCTTCGAGAGAAATGGGTGACAGAGACGAAGCCAATTACTATCCTCCAACAGAACGAGTCCAATATAGAAAATATCCAGTCTCATTTTACCGAAACTTCTAGAAGGGTTTTACAAACAAACTTTAAAACTCATATTAAATGTATGAAACTAAATTTAAAGCTTAACAACTACATTTAAAGCTTATCAAATATAAGCTCAGAGCACGGTGAGCATGTCAAAGGATTGCACTAACTCTACTGATATGCGGCCAACACGACACTCCCAACCTACCATGAACTAAATCATTATCAATTATCATATGCATTACATACTACCACTATCTTAACACTGTACTCACTATCTTATCGCAGTCCTTAACACTTGCTAACAGTTAACACACTGATGGATATCAAGTATCAAGTATCATAGTCCAGGAATAAGATCATATCCTCAGCTCTTACGTATCAGTGTCATTTTAGAGATAGTTTGAACGGTTGTAATGATGTCAGGATCGATGGGAGGTGCAGGACGTTGTATGCTGAGGATGAGTTTTGAGATGATGATGTGTTGTGCGTGGCGGATTGTCTCATTGCAATTGTTTAAGCGTTTTGATTGTAAATTTGCAGTGGTAGTAAGTAGCAGATGGTTGTGCAATGTGCACAAGCCACGGATACATATTATGTAATCACCAGTTTTGTAACTTATGTTTGCTAACTAACTTACAATGGGGACAGGTAAAAAACAAAAAGGCAGCTTCTATACTATTAGTTTCTAATGGAACAAAGCAGCTACAGACAATATAATGATAATGTTTGCATTGAGTACGGAAAAAGCAGCTCATTGCTCATTGTGTTAGTCAGTATATTATCACATCTTCTGAGACAGACAGCTGGTAAGCCGGCCGCAACTACAACTGAAGGAAATCAAAAGCGAATTAGATCGCAATTAAAAAGTAATCGCCCACCTCCGCCTAGACACAAAAAACAGATGGCTACTTTACAAATTAACTACAAAAGTATACTGTTATTATGTTATTATGCGACATAATACACATAATATAATATCAGTCACAACTACAGAGGAGAGACGGCCGGATCTGAGAAGACTCATCACAACGATCTTCACAAAGCTTTTATATATAGTACAATGTAGTAGTAGTAGTAGTAGTAGTACTAAGTAGTAGTAGTGATATGTACAGTATACAGACAGGTAGACACAAAAATATCATGAGTAATGGTCTATTTTTAGTAACACCACGAGAAAGAGAGCTGTCTACTCTTGCAGACAGCAATAAAACCTAATGAGGAGAGATAATAAGCTAATGACCCTAATGAGGGTTAATGATCCCCGCTCGCAGTCTAATCCTGGTTTATATATAATCTTATATTTACTCTTTACAGTGTATAGGGTAGCTGTCAGACTGTATACAATTACACAGTGGCAGTGATATCTTCTACTTTTGACTGTTGTTGTGCGTCATAGTGTAAAGTTGGGGAGGAGGAGGAGGAGGAACTCAGCTGGCAGGATCATAATGAGACGCAATTTCCGCACCATTTGATCAAACCCGGATCAAACCACTTACTGCGGGATATTGACGTAACTAGTTACACTCTCTACAGAAAGAGAAAGAGAGAGAGAGAGAGAGAGAGAGAGAGAGAGAGAGAGAGAGAGAGAGAGAGAGAGAGAGAGAGAGAGAGAGAGAGAGGAGAGAGAGGAGAGAGAGGAGAGAGAGGGGGGGGAAGAGAGAAGGAGAGAGGGGGAGAGAGAAGGAAAGAGGGGGAGAGAGAAGGAGAGAGAGGGAGAGAGAGGGAGAGAGAAGGGGAGAGAGGGGGAGAGATGGAGAGAGGGAGAGAGAGGGAGAGAGAGGGAGAGAGAGGGAGAGAGGGGGAGAGAGAAGGAGAGAGGGGGAGAGAGGGGGAGAGAGAGGGAGAGAGAGGGAGAGAGAGGGAGAGAGAGGGAGAGAGAGGGATATAAACTGAGCAGCAGATAAACTTCTGAGCATGAAAAACAAAACACCGCAAATTAGATCAAAAACCCGGATTATTCGGACCGGGGATTACCAGGTAATAACCCTGAAATCACGTACCGAGCAAATAGCACAGACTGTTAGGCCCCTTTCTGGTGTCCTGTGTTAAATTAGCTGACAGGTCAGTGAGCGTAGTAAGCACTTATCATAGACGTGCTGGCTACTTCAGGTCCGGGGGAAAACAACAACCCTACCTTATATGGGCATCACGTGATACTGCTCATCATCATCTCACAAAGCTAGGCCACAGCACAAGGCTCGGAACAAACGACACAAGTTTGTGCACTCGAGAGTGGATTGTGGGGTTATATATAGTAAGGAGCTAGAGAGAGAGAGAGAGAAGGACTGATAGTTGGGAAGTAAGTTTATAGCACTGAAGTAACTCCCACGAGTTTCTCTCTGACACGAGATAAATCATCGTTAGAACGAAGATTGAATCACACCTAATAGAGGGGACCAGCACTTTCACGCTAGTTTCAAATGCAGGTCTTGATATACGGGTGATGTGTTTTGTTTACATAGCGAATCTTGTGTAAACATGTTATAAAACATGGCCAATCTATAAGATTATTATTAGTAATAGGAGTCGTGGAGAAAGGGCGCTAAATGCTATAAATACATCATAATAACCTAATCATAAACCAAGATTACCAGCCATTCCCCGAGTCCTGTGGAGGTCCTGTGATCTTCACCCCCCAATAGGAATTATCTCAACCTCAGCCCCATGTTATGCAGCCATTTCAAACGGGAGGTGATGTGTGGAGAGAGGGGGGTCATGTGATAACATGGTCATGTGATAACAGGGGAAATACGAGATCTGGTTGTGATCACATTAATCTTATAGTCAGTAGAGCAGCAATAATAAAATCTGTGCCCTGGATTAAGCCTAAACTCATTTGTCTATAACCTCCTCAACTGTGAACCAAAACTAAAACATTATATGTTCCCCGGGAATCGTGAATCGGGATTAGAGCACTGAAATTGAAGACGAAACTAATTCTAGAATTTGAGATACTGGCTAGATCTATCCCAGAGAAGAAGTAGGACTGTTTCAAAGAAATCTAATGGCTTATATACGAGCCATTACCCAGACAGATAACAGTTGACATCATGAGATGAGTTGGCTGAGGTTCAAATAGGGTTACCTACTCACACGAGAAAGAGAATAGGATATTATCTTTGAGGCCAGATGGTCAATTTAGAGGAAGATCAGACCTTGGCGACATGAGACTCGCTCAAAATAAGAATATCAAAGATGTAACCGATATAGACTTCTGAGAAGTCACAAATTCACAAATTTATATTCGATCAGGCAATACTTGGCCACCAGGGAGTTCAGATCAAAGAAAATCATCTACTCTACAGATAAGTGGTTCACGGTTAGATCCTTATCAGTGACATAGCCGTACAACAATTAAACTGAATAGCTGTCTTAATTGAAAAGAATTAAGTTTGCGATTGCTTGCTGGCCAGAAGCTTAGCTTTTGATCAGACCGGAAAGCATTGTGATCCTTGAATGGTAGCCAACCTAGCAATTAAATATAAAGTGATCTCAAATTTTGGAACAATGAACTGGATAAAGCAACATTTGGAACGGCGCCTCATCTCTAGACTAATCAGTGCATGGTACTCAATACCTGTGGTATATCGTCATTCAAAGCTCATTCTTTCATTGTATTTCATCGGTCGGTAAGGAGGATGAATTCCTTTGATTCTTAAATATGTATGAGGAATTTAAGGATATCAAACCATATCTGGTAGGTATCAAATCATTCGCAACATATTTCTGTGCAACGAACAAGGATCAGTCACATACAGTAAAAACAATCGAAATAACCGATTCCAAAACAGCGGCCAAAACAACTTGCAAAAACATCGCTGAAACATACCAAATGAGGGCTTGGTATACCAATAAAAATGCAACACGAATAACACAAATTTCAGGAGGTATCTGCGTACAATAAATCTGCATAAGTTAGGGCAGAGCACTAACTAGCTTTATAGAAGCTAGGGAAACGTCAGAACGGGAGGGAAGCCTAACTAAAACTGTAAAACTGGCAATATTATAGCATATATAATATTCATCTAGCGCTTTCTGAATCCTACGCCCTCGTTAGTGTTACGTTTAAACAAGAACAGGTAAATATGCTGTGTTATGTGCCCGAATTGTAACGTTTCGTCCTTGCAATGGTATTAATATATTGTCCGTTTTAAAATAGATTTAACAGGAAAGAAGCCCAGCAAGGCGGATGGAATGAGTTTAATTTCCCCCGTTTCCAATTAATTCATGGCACATTTGGTGTATTTTAGACAAAATAAAATGCAGAAATAAGAATAATAAAAAAATATGCGCATCAAGAAAAACTTGCTCGTGAGCTTGTTATTAGATCAGATAGGTTACTCCCTCACATTGGAGAGAAGAGTGAAATCTAATCAAGCTGGACTCAGCCCATGATCCACCCAACAGATAAATTCAATTACAGAAAATACTGAAAATTTTACCGTCATTTCCATGTTACACTATGCTTTTACAAGTGGAAATTGGGAAGCAAAAACAATTCCTATAAGATGGAACTAGAATAACTGCAGTGCGTGTGTTGTTATTTGTTAATACTTTAACGAGTTGTCAGGAGTTTTTAACGTAGGAAAATGACAAGAATGTAGGACCCAAGTTTAGAGCGGAGGATATGAAGACTGGTGGACGTGACGCAAAACCGCGCCATTAATCTAGGTGCGTGTCACAATACACATGTGCAAAGTCGGGAGCAGTTAGAGCAAGATATACTGGAATATGATGTGAATATGATACTTCTTAGCGACAAGATGCTGCTTTCTAGTGACAAGATGCTGCTTCCTAGTGACAAGATGCTGCTTCCTAGTGACAAGATGCTGCTTCCTAGAGACAAGATGCTGCTTCCTAGTGACAAGATGCTGCTTCCTAGTTACAAGATGCTGCTTCCTAGTGACAAGATGCTGCTTCCTAGTGACAAGATGCTGCTTCCTAGTTACAAGATGCTGCTTCCTAGAGACAAGATGCTGCTTCCTAGTGACAAGATGCTGCTTCCTAGTGACAAGATGCTGCTTCCTAGTGACAAGATGTTGCTTCCTAGTGACAAGATGCTGCTTCCTAGTGACAAGATGCTGCTTCCTAGTGACAAGATGCTGCTTCCTAGTGACAAGATGCTGCTTCCTAGTGACAAGATGCTGCTTCTTAGTGACAAGATGCTGCTTCCTAGTGAAAAGATGCTGCTTCCTAGTGACAAGATGCTGCTTCCTAGTGACAAGATGTTGCTTCCTAGTGACTTTATGACTATTGACTAGTGACGAGATTTAGCACATGCGTTTTAAACGATAGTATCCAATAAATATAATGCGTTTTTTTTTCTGCAGCAATCTCCGCATGCATTCTTTACCATTGTTATTTACTCAATTATAATGTCTATTGTTGTCAAGTTACGTAATTCGTAAACCTAAAAATGAATGAAGCCAAATTCTAATCAACAGTCAACACTTAGGATTGCCAATGATAACTATTAACTCGAAATTACGAAAGTCAAACCAGATTCTGGTAATGTTAATGGCATTCTATGATATAACACTTTACACTATGTAACTGTTAGTCGGATTGGCGAATGGCGCGGAGGATTAGGTAATCATTTGACTGATAACAGACTAGAAAGCGGTCAAATTAGTAAAATTATTCGCTCATATCAGAGAAATCAGAGAAATCGGTAACAATGCGACAAATTAGACACTTAAGCAAATTAGTGTATCTGACACTTGTAAGGGTTTAGACGTAATGCTACCAGGCAGCTGTAGCTGTAAGATACTATCTACTTTACAGGGTTCTGTAATGTACCCACGAGTTACGACCTGGTAATATCCGGATACAACTTGAGAAACTGCAACTCTCTCAAAATGCATCCTGGATAGTACTGGACACAATTGCAACTGAGAGTTTCGAGGCTAAGATCCGGGAGTAGATAGACAAATAATTGGAGTTACCCCCACATTCTTTACAGTCAGACAATCAGACAATAATAGTTCAACACTTGCCAAGAGTTCTAGGCTGGTAGCTTTCCTGGTATCCGTGATGGATTTTCCCGATAATGAACCGACAAGAGGTGTTTCAGCGAAACGAACAAGGAAATACCCCGCACCGGAACAATAGTTGCTGGCACAGAAGCAGCACATACTGTACACAACTCAACACAAAACTCTAACACTAGCAAGGGTTTTACAGGTATTTTGAGTGGAGAGAGGCGGAAGAAAAAGCGGACAAAGGTGAAGAAATACTTGCAATTTAAAGCAGGCGATAGAAAAGGAAATGGGAGGGGATTTTACGAAACAATCAGAGATTAACTCATCAGCTAAGCGAAATAAAATATGTGTAATAACTGCTGTACATTATATAGAAGTCTAGTAAATCATATGGCTTGCGCAATTGAATATAATAAACCTCACACCGATTGCTATGGATACCTGAATATGTCGCTATTTATGATCGGAATTCTAATTGATCTAAAAACAGCTCAATAGGTGTACTATTGTTCTACTTCTTTTGAGAATATTTATAGATTATGGGTGATCGTATGATTTGCCGACACAATGCTCTGTTGGCAAGCTTTGGCAAACAGCTCTTGAGACCAACAACTGACTGAACAACATTGAAGTGAAATCATAAGCACGCTACAACAGGCAGAAAATACCTTACAGATGACGGCGTATATTGGAAGCCTGTCACGAAATTAGTGAGCTATATCAGTAATAATAATATCAGAGCAACACACGGTCCAACCAAACAGACCAAAATAGCTCAGATCATTAAAATCACAAACGCGTCGTAGAAACAAAGCTGCTCAGCGACCAGCGTGCAACAATTGAAGCGAGTTTTGGCAAGATATATAAGCGCAGACTGTCAGATACGGAGCTGGAACAATGATCTATCAGAACGTTAGCACCCTCCAGCTCACTATCACTAGCTGCAAATCGTAACATACACCGGCTCCACAAAAATCAACAAATCAACAACTGAGCTCTGAAATCACTGCTACACGTAGGAGTTACAGCTAGTTCTAATTGGTGAGCTGAGTCACGCCATACGTAAAACTGAGAGAGTCAGAGAGAGGGAGGGAGGGAGGGAGGGAGAACCCAGATATAGGGAGAGAGAGAGAGAGAGGGAGAGAGAGAGGGAGAGAGGTTGAGCTGGGTGGTGAATGACAGACAGGTAAAGAAAGTAGTGCGTGAGGAGAAGATGGAGGGGAATGAAGAACTGCTTGAGAGAGATGGAATCAGACTTGGATAAGAGGTCTAAATCACGCGCTGATCTGATAATGTCTTCCATGGAGACAGTAACTCTAAAGTCCTTTTAGGATCACTTATACTATTATATACCAGAGCTTCAGAGCTTGCCAACATTCTTAGCCGACATTTCAACAACTCCTGAAGCTTTCAACAATGTTTTGGGAATAAACCTGCATAATATTCGAATAAAAAACTGGATTTTATTCAGGTAAAACTGAATATTATTCGCACAGCTGCAAATTGTTTTTGAGGTCCAGGGCGTTGACACGAAAACACTTAAATTTGGCTATCTTAATATCGCACTGACATTAAAAACAAGCAAGCAGGAGTCAGGAATGAACGCAAACAATAGAGAATATTTGCAAAACAGAAACAAATGCAAAGGTGTAACTATGAAACAGCCGAAAATGGCTTGACTGACAGTGGCAAGTCAAAATGAGTAAGTCTGGTAACTAAAAATGATGTCAATACATTTAGAGTGCCGTAATTATTGAACTAATTCTGTCATTAAATCCAAAGTTGACAGGGGACATTGAACAAACATATCAGAAGAAAAGATGAAAATGGACGAGCTCAACTGCAACATTATGCGATTTAGGCAGGTACCAAGGTTGTACCTCCAATGAGGAAGCCGCACCCGCGTCACATGACTTGATAGTATAACCTACTGCAGCCCCACAACTGCTGATTATCAAGAGGGATACTTTCCGCACGAAGACTTCCCGACTGGAGGCCTGACCCCGGTACTCTTTTATGGCTTTGCTGCAAAAAAACTCTTGTCACTCACGCCAATAAACCGGGCTTGTTTTGGTGACTGCTCCCCTAAATCTTAATTTTAAGGCGGTGAGAGGAAATTTTAAAATCCAGCAACATGCAGTCTGGAGGTGAGAATTAGAAGAGAATATTTGAAACAAAAGAGGTGGGAAACAAGAGGAAATGGAAGAAGTTTCTGGCTCCAGAGACTGTGAATTATGATTTATGCAGGATGTGGACGCAAAAAGCATTTGCTTGTTTCAGTGTTGCGGAGAGATGAAAGGAGTGACACGCTTCACAATTAGGTGTTAAACAAACATCGTGAGTTGCTGTAAACTTCTGATTGTCAAGGATTACCCAAACATAAACACAGAGTAGATCCGGTTGTGGGGTATTTAGCACATACGTGCGGTATCCGAGACCAAAAGTGGAGATATCTAGCATGCTCTAATTCAAATAATATTCCAATTTGTTTACATTTCATGACTTGTGGTGCAACTCCAATCATGATCCAACTTGGCATTGCAAAATAGAGTCCAAAGATCATGTCTCTGGAATGCTTTATTCGATGTTAGATTTGATTAAATATATCGTGCATGTTGATATCTAAATATAAATGTCAATTGTCAAAGCTCGATAGAAATGTATAATGCTTATTGATCATAACTAATTAGCCTAAGCCATTCAAGTGACCACTCAAGAATGAGCGGATCAGTGAAATTCCTCGGAATCCGCTCCTGACTGAAATTAACCGATCAGATATCTGCATTGACGTGGGGTGTGAAAGTTAAGCTGCTCAGTAAAGAGAACCCCTACATTTGCAGAGCACTACTTTTGAGATTTCCCTTCTCTCTCTCTCCTTGGCTCTCCAGTGCGACGTAAAACACTGGCTCACTTGCACTAGACAGAGCAGCCAGCTAGGCTGGCTTAATGACAGGCTGCACATGATAACTGGGCAGCTTCCAGCTATGGTTAACCATGGTTAACAGAGAGCTGTTAGTGAGCAGGGAGTTGTTTTAACAACTGGGTATTATTTCACACGTTCCCTTCCCCACCAACGTCAAGCCAAGACCTTAGGAAGGTTCGGGAAGACAGACCTTGTTAGAGGCATCTTTCACAACTGTTAAATATTTCGTGGTATACGTCTGTCCTAAAGGTGTTGCAGCTGCATATATCTAGGATATTGTTTACCATATATCAGCATATCCGTGCTCCAGAGGTGCAATTCACAGCTGTACGTCAACAACAATGATGGGAGGAACGTACGCGTCAAAAATGAACACCACCCAAAAAGCTGTCACATTCGCTATAGGAAATTTGAAACGAGCACCACCCATGATTAATGACGATCGCAGCCGAAAACGGGATAATGAACCACTGGAAGGCGTGGCGTTCGAAACAAGGAAATGACTCTCAACCTTAGAAGGTTGATTCAACTGCAAAACTTTTGGTTCTCAAAACGTAATTGAATCAGATAAATCCTGTAATACAAAGCACAGAGCGGATAACCGAAATAAACGTACGCAAATAGTGGATAGGATAACAAACTGTACTTAGTTAATGTAATAGCTCCAATATTAGAACAGATCAACGGTTACCTAACTGAAGAACCCAGGAACCGGTAGGTGTGAAAACTGGATGTTTAAATCATGAAAAATAAGTGACGCGCCAAATTACTACGACGTAGAAGTTGGAAACTAACTCTCGAGAAGTTGGAAACTAATTCGGACACTTTAAAACCCCGACAGAGAGAGAAGAAGACCTCTCTTCACTTGACTGAAAATCCTTTAAATAGGATTTTGGTACGACTAATGGCTGGGATCGATTTGATTATCATGTTGAGTAATCGACACCACGGTGATCTAAAAATAGTGATTTCAGAAAGTGCCAAATCATCCCCTCTATAGGTATCCATCCAAACACAGGCTATTCGGGTGAGTGTGTGTGTGTGTTGCACATTTTTCAGAGGAAATTCCTCTCTCAGACGAAGTTTGTAACGGATCAGCAAGTGTTAAAATCTAGAACTTCATCGGGAGAACGAGAGGATCGCAATAACAAATTTACAGTTTAAATGATCTCACCCCTACAAATCCTAAGAATGAGAGATAACTGTTAACGTGTTAATTACCCACTCCACCAAATCTACTGTCCTCTCCGAACGATGATCTAGGCTCGAGGCTCCACGGCATTCAAATTTTCCCAGTGATTTCACAACATGGTAGAGTATGAAATCGGGGGGAACATTTAGGTGAGGGAACCTGGAG